TTCCGACTTTCTAAGAAGGACACCAAAAGCAATAGCAGTTGAGAACAGAATAAACAAATGGGACCTCATCAAACTAAGAAGCTTCTGTACAGCAAGGGAAACAATCAACAAAGTAAAAAAGCAACCCACAGATTGGGAGAAGATCTTTGCACACGATATAGGCGATAGGGGGCTAATTTCCAGGATATACAAAGAACTTCAAAACAACCAAAAAACCAAAACAAACAAACCACTCAAGAAATGGGCACGGGAAATGGGCAAACATTTCACAAAGGAACAAGTCCAAATGGCAAACAAACATATGAAAAAATGTTCCAGCTCCCTAGCAATAAGGGAAATCCAAATTAAAACATCGATGAGGTACCACCTAACACCAGTAAGATTGGCCCACATAAACAAGAACACCAACGACGCTTGCTGGCGAGGATGCGGGGAAAAGGGAACCCTACTCCACTGCTGGTGGAGCTGCAAATTGGTACAGCCTTTATGGAAATCAGTCTGGAGAACACTCAAACAACTCAAAATCTGCATACCATATGACCCAGCAATAGCACTCCTAGGAATATATCCAAAACACCTGTTTTACGACAAACCAACATGCATCCCTATGTTCATTGCAGCACAATCAGTAATTGCAAAAACATGGAAGCAACCGAAATGCCCATCAGCAGAAGATTGGATAAGAAAGCTTTGGTTCATCTACTCCATGGAATACTACTCAGCTATTAAAAAAAACAAAATGCAGTTCTTTGTGGCTAAATGGGCCCAACTGGAAACTATAATGCTAAGGGAAATGAGTGAATCCCAAAAGATTAGATACCACATGTTTGCCTTGATTTAACCTGTAATTTTTTGTTTGGTTGTTGGTTATTTTTTGAACCGGTCATTGATACTGTCTCAACCCAGATGTTTCGAAGAATGGAACTTGCATTATTTTTAACATATTGTCTACCCATTACTATGTCAATTAATTCCATAATGTTGTATATTGATACTGAGGCCTTGTTGGGGCTTTTAACTGACCGGATCTTTACTCTGTTAGACCTATCTTCAGACCATAGAAGGTCTCCCCAAGAGGCCACTGAACTTATCTGGACAATAAGACGCTGAACTTTATGCTAGGCATGTGTTTGCAAGCAATGAATCTCAACTGAACTTGAACTATGGTTATGCAACAAGGTGGAGGAATCCACCATGGGGGGAGGGTTATGGGAGGGGTGGGGGGAATCCCCAGCGCCTATAAAACTGTACTACATAATACAATGTAAGCAACAATAAAAAAAAAAAAAAAGTAAAAAAAAAAAAAAAAAAAAAAAAAAAAGTTGAAGTATTTATGCGTAGACGATGGCCAAAAATACAGTTCTCAAAAGAAGGCCTGTGATAGCACATTCAGACTTGTAATTCAGATGTAATTCTTTTTTTCAAAATTTTGTTATATTTAGATCTGGTCAAAGGTATCTTGTCAGACCTCTTTTAGGAAAAAAGTAAAAGAAAAGAAAGTTGAGAATTAGTGAGTTATTACTTGTCTTTCAGTAAAAACAAAACATTTCATCATTTCTTCTAGCACTTCATACTCTGCTCTTTCAGAGAATAAGAACACAGCATCTGTTGTCAAAAATGCACTTATGGTTTTCGTTTATCTTTCTTCAGTTTTGTTAAGGTCCAAGAATTGTGTTGTTGATAATGGAAATTCTTAGAACTTCATTAAGCCTTGTTTAACAGTCTCACCTTAACCATAATTACTGTCTATGAATGTTTCATAGATTCTGCAGAAAGTATGTATCATTTTCTCCCCTTATGCTTTATGTCATTTTTGGCATCTATACTTAAAATTTATGCAACTGGACATGACCAACTTAACATTACATCATTCTACAGAATTCATTACTTAATTTTTTAAAATAAACCTTTAGTCTGTTCCAACTATTTTGCTATCACAGCAATTCTTTAATTATATCTTGACATACATTTTCTATCATTTTGCCTTTAACTTTTCTGCAGCCTCATTTTAAAGAGTTAATGAGAGTATAGACCATTGCAACCACTATGAATGTCAATATGAAGAGTGCTAAGACAACTGAAAATTGACAGTTATCCCAAGGATATGGACATACTACCCGCTGACTCTCAAAGTTTCATTGGTGGAGAGCTAGAATCGGCAGCAGAGCAAGAACTCAAAGACAAGTACTCCTCTGATACAGGGTGAGAACAGAACATCCCAAGAATGTTTTGACAAATGTTTAACATTTGAGTAAGTTGGAGCCAGGATTGTAGTGCCAACAGTTAAGTCATGGCCTGCAATGCCAGCATATCAGATAAGCAATGGTTCAAGTTCCAGACGCTCCACTTCCCATCCAGCTCCCTGCCAATGTGCCTGGAGAAGCAGCAGGAGACAATACAAGTGTCTGGGCCCCTTCTACCCGTACAGGAGAGCTGGTGGAATTCCAGGCTGCTGGTCTTCGCCTGGATCAGTTCCGTCATTGCAGCTGTTTGGAGAATAAACCAATGAATGGAAGATCTCTCTGAGTTTCTCCCTCTAATTCTGTAAGGCTGTTTTTCAAATATTGAAAATAAATCTTTAAAAATTATTTTTAAAACAGAAGTTTGTGCAAATTGGAAAACAGATCCTAGAGTTAAATACAAAGGTTAAGGCCAAGTGCATGAATTTAATTTAGTTGTGATAATCAGATATGCATGTAAGTGTCAATGCACATGGCTCTACATGAAAAAAAATCTGAGAATCAGCTAAATGTAAAACAGGAGAATATATCTTCTAACTCATTTTAGCCCATTGCTGCTGATGCAGAAAACCAACATTTGAGTAACTTAGTACTGGTCTTTAACAAGTGTCAAAAGTTCAAGATTCCTCACCTATGCATCAGTCCTCTCTGGAAAATGTGAGAGAATGCTACTAAGATTCTTGGATCCAGCTGGGATGCATACTGGTAGTTAATCCCTCGCTGCCTTGGTGGTCGTTTACACCCATATTTTAGGGTTGTAATGATGTGTGAGTGTATCTGCAATATGCATATAGAAGGACACAGCGCAGAAGCATGGGTGCCACTCTGCCTGCCTACACTGATTGCTCTTAGGAGACTGAAGATCGGTGGACTTTTTGAAGAAGTCTCCGTTTGGTTAGCCTGCAGGGCTTTTCTGGCTTTTCAGTTTTGTCTGCTATCAAAATGATCTAAAATTTGTTTGTACAACAGACTCTTCCCAAGACGTAATTTTGATCTTTAAAACAGAAAATTAAAAGTTTGGGAAAACCCAATAGTATTTCAGTATGAGTTTCCGCAAAATAAGTGTGTTTGTCATTATATATGATTCAGGGGAAAAAGATCCATGATATATTTGCTAACATAGTTGGTGTTTACAACTGTATTTAAAACCTTAGAAGCAAGGAGTTTGGCCTGCAGGGGAGGTTCAGTTCTTTAGAGCCCCTTGACTGGTGCTGGTACTGCTGCTGGAGACTTCTTTTATAAAGGATCTGCTTTGATTTCCGTGTGTGTGTGTGTGTGTGTGTGTGTGTGTGTGTGTGTGTGTGTGTGTGTGTGTGTTTTAAACCCCCTTGAGAAGGAACGAATTCCTTACAGTGAAAATGGAGTGCTGCTTGATGCAATGAAATTGACAAGGGTCCAGACAAGTCACAGCCACGTTTGGTCGGTTCAGTAGGCGCACATGTTGGTTCCCAGTCCCTGTGGCTTCCTACTTCCAACACCCCCAAGTGCACAGTTCTGATTCCCCCAGAGTGGAGGAGACAGGGGAGCTGAGTTCCGTACAGATCTTAAACCCCACCCCACCCCACCCCCATTGCTCTAAGAAAAGGAAAGGGAGGAAATAAAACGAAACCTGGGAATGGGAAAAGAAAGGAAAGGGCGAAGGAGGGCGAAAGAAAGTAAAAGTTAGAAGGGAATGGGATGGAGAACATCTAAAGACTGAGAAAGGGAGGGAGGAATGCATTGTTTGTGGTGCCCTCCTCAGCATCAAGGAATCCCAGAGACCCACTATTGTTTTCCCGCAAGCCCCGAAGCTAAGCAATCCCAAGAATGCTGGGCAAGGCCCTTTTGGGAATGGCGAGGTGGGGAAACTGGGGGCGTGGGGAGACTTTCTCACCGCCTCCTCCCCCCGCGGGCCCCTCACATGATGTGACAGCTTTTGGGAGACCCAGCGGAAACCTTCAGGTCACCCGGGGAACTGCTGCTCTCCCCGTCCTGCCGCGGCGAGGCAGGGGGTGGGAGCGCCGAGACGCGCAGGGCGCGGAGATGTGCAAGTGGCCAGGCTTGACCGAGCGCAGGCGGGAGCAGCCGCCCAACTCCCGGCGCGGGATCCACTGAGAGACCACGGTGAGTCTCTTCTGGTGAGGGTCCCGGGGATGCCTCGGGTGTCCTGCGCTCCCCTGCCAGGGCAGAGGCCGGCGCGCAACCTCCCGGCGTGCGGCCTCGTTGGGATAGGCGCCCGCGGCCAGCCGCCCCGCAGCCCACGGCGCTCAGGGCGCGCCGGGAGACGCACAGACTGACCGGCGCTCGCCGGGGCTCCCCAGCCGCCCGCCCGCCGCTCGGCCCCGCGCGCTCATTGGTCGGGATGTGCCTGCTCAGCAGCCTCCAACTTCTCCCGAATCCCACTGGTGAGTCACCGCAGATTGAGCAGGCACCTGGGAGCTGGGGCAGCAGGGTCTAAAGGGCACGATCGCCCGGGGCGCTGGGAGCCACCGGGACGCGCCAGGGGTAGGGTCGGGGGCATGGCAGCGCCGGCCAAGGGGCGCGGCTGCCGCAGGCACACGGGGCAGGGTCCACGGCCCGGCTCTGGTGCGACCTGCGCGCCCGAGACCCGCGACGCGAGGCGAAGGAGGCGTGCCCTGGGCTGGAGCTGCGGCTGGGACCTAAGGAGGGAGGGACGGAAGGAGGGAAGGGGCAGAGAGGGTGACCTGGAGGAGGGCTCTGCGAGTGATGTCAGGTCGACTCTCAGGTTTATTACCAGCGCTCCCGGCAGCTTGTGACTGGGGAGTTATGTTTGGTCACCGAGATCAGCGCTACCTAATTGCGGCGGGGCTGATCTGGGGGCAGGGAATTGGCCATTCCGCTGTACAGACCCTGGTTTTTTTAAAAAGCAAGGTTTGTGTTCATTTTGGTTTCTGTTGGATTTTCTTTTAATTTGTTAACTCACTTCTATTTTTACTTTTCTGAACCTGAAGATCTTTTCATGATTCCACCTCTTCATCTCGCTTTGAACCTTGATTTGCTATTATATAATTTATGTTAAAAATCACCCAAGGGTGGCGCGGGGTATGTGGGAGTGTTCCTTTGTGGGTGAAAGTTTTTTTTTTTTTTTCTTTTTTTAACAAGGTCTCTAACTGGCCTCAATCTACTTGCATTACTTGGAAGGGGGCTGGTAGGGAAGAGATAGAGTCGCGGGAGAACTCTTTCTTGTTCACCGACTCCATTCCTGCTTACTATGCCCCTGCGATTTAAATGGCAGTTTGACACCCCTGAAAGCTAGTAGCTGATTTCCAGAGTCAGGATTGGCAGCCTGTAATAGGCAAGTGGGCTGCTAAGGCGGGTAGCTTTGGTGTCTTACACTGCTGCTGGGTTCCAGCAATTTTAAAAACGGTTTGGTGTTTTTTTGGACTGGAAACTATGTGTCTGATGGTAGCTCTACACACCACAAGGGAGAAATGTGGTTGGGGCTTTCTGCCTAGAGCTCCATATTTAGCATATGGGTTACCCAGTGGCTAATGTCTGGAGGAAAAAAAAAAAATGATTTCTTCTGAGAACCTACCTGCCAAGCTTCTGCAGATTCAGTCTAAAACGGAAGCATATCCGTCTTCCTGTGCCTCCGTTTCCATAACGTAAGCTGTAAATACAGAGCCCATCTTCAAGGACTTGGAATACCGTAATGCTCTCCTGAGCTGTGAGGATGAAGAGTGCTTCGACTCACACTGCCCTTTTCCCAGTTATCCTCCACAGTGCAGGATTTGGTTATCTGATAAAGTAATAAAGACTTCTGCTCGACTATTGTAAGAATTGCTGCTTTACAGTCCTTTGAAATTCAGCCCAGACTCCAGCACAAGAATTGATTCTTTCTCTGATGCCGCTGAGCTATAGTTAGTGGGGTTCTTGTTGGGTTATTCCTCCCAATTTTTCATTTTATTCTCTGGCAGTGTCTGCTGCTCAATTTAAGTGTTTTAACATATTTTCAGTTGAGATGAATTACTTTTAACAATGGAGCTGTATTTTTGCATACTCTGTCTTAAGACTACATCCCTATGTAGCTGTTTGTATTTTAATGTGTCTGTTTTTTCTGTTCTCCCTCCCTGAATCCCTTCTGAATTGTGGCTGGTTGTGATTGATTTGGATATGCAGGTCAGGGAGTGGGAGTTAGTGAAACAGTCTATCCAGAAGTTTAGGATTCTTAGTCCTATTTTCTCACAAGAAAGTCATGAATTGTTGAGAATGAACTGGCATTCAATGACAAAGTGTGTTATGAGGTTAAATATGCATCATTGCTACTTTTGCTTAAGGCTGTTGAGGCGTGCTGCTTGGGAGCAAAACATTTTGAAGAATTTGCAGAGCATTTACAAGTAGGGCAGAGGGAGAAAGTTTGCAAATGATTCAAGAATGATAAGGAGTAAACAGCTTGAGCCACCACCTGAGTTTCCATGTCACTCCGCTTGCTATCGCCAGTGCCAAAGCATGACGAGCTAGCTGTGTGGGCTGTGCGGGCGTTCTCAAGCCTAAGGGGAGAATTCTAGTAGAAGTCACCAGGGAGAGAGAAGTGCTTGCCCACTTAACACTAACTGTTGAACTGTTGAATGGGTTGCAGTAACAAACAGAACCTCTACTTTCACCCATGACTGCCCTAGTTCCCTCGCCAATTCCAAGAAAGAATTAAGTTAATAGAAGCAAAATATTTCTCTAGATTGTCTTTCAATATGTTATCAGAACAAGAGGAGAAATATTTAAGAAAGGGAAAATGTAGCAGCAACTATGATTGATGCATTCGGATGTCCTTTAGGTCATTTACGAACTCTGGGAAACCAAGAACATTTTTCTTTTATATTGTTTACTTGTCTAAGATTTCAAATATTACATATGCTTTCATCTTTTCTGTAGTCAGCCATCACCCTTTTTCAAATAAGACTATGGCCAATGCAGTTGGCATATCAGATCCTCCCAGAGGCTGTGAGACTCAGTTACCAGTAGTTACATAAACATTTAGCAAGACATCTCAACATTCAGGTACATTACATTCCACTTTTATTGAGCAGACATGGTTTTCATTGCCCAACGACACATTTTTATTTGATAGTTTGTCCATACTTATAGCCCCACCATCAAGCAGACAGCATAATGAAGACTCTGTATCCAGATTTTTAACATTCAGCATTTGTGGTTTACTTGTAAATAGGTCACCAAAGGGGGTAAATTCAGTTATCTGCTGGATCTCCCAGATCACACTTCAAAGCAATACCTGCTTTCCTGTCTGCCTCAGTTTATACAAAACACACTCGGAACTCTGTGTATCCCACAAATGTTTAACTCTCAAAGCTTTGTGAGTCATCTCTTCGTCTAGGAATTACCTTTAGGATGCATTTGGATTGAGCTATTAATAATTATCTGTTCATTCAAGATGCTCTTTCATATTGTCATTGAAGACAAAATGAAGCTGTTCATTCTCAGCTGTGGTGGGTGACTGTGGTAGGTGAGTAGGCCTCCAAGGACACACGGAGTTTATATACGGATGCTTTATCCCCTTAACTTGCCCCCTGAATTTCTGCAGTGAGCTCTAAGATAGCCTTTACTGCATGATGATACATTTCTTTTTCAAACAGCAATCAAATGTGTCTCTTAAATAGAATTTTAACTTGTGGCAGAGTGGGCGAGTTATTTGACTTCTGCACTCCAGTTTCCTAAGGTACAGAATTGATACATTAATATCTCCTTTCTGAAGCTGGAAAAGCTGGAAAAGCTCATATGTGAGCTGATACCGGCACATGAAAAGTACTCAGCATTGACATGTTTATTTTAAATATAAATCAAATTATCTTGACATTGAACACCCTGACTTGTGAACTAGAAGTTTTTAAATCATTTCTCTCCTTCAGTTGCACCAAGAAGCAGTGGCATGGTTATCTTTCAAGATAGAAACCACTGGCCTTTTTCAAAATGTTGTCTGTCCAGTTAACAGATACCATATCAGCAAGCGGTATTCATTTTGAACTGTAAAAATAAAAGTTGTTTATATAAACTACTTGGAATTATTTGCTCATTTTGATTTTTCTGTTTTAGTTCATGTTTCGAATGATTGCTTAGTCAACACTTCAGGGTATTAGTTATTGATTTTTGACCCTATAAAAGAAGCAACTGCACTAGATTGTTTAAAATTTAATCTTTGGTGTGAGTCTGTAGTTTATAAAGGTGAGTTTAAGACTTTCTTGATAATGATACAGCAATATTTCAGTTGTAAACTGCTGAAGCAATCCTATGTGAATGTTTAACTGGGTCAGGCCATCTAATTTTGCTGGCATACAAAGTGATTCTAAAAAACAAAAGGTTATGACCAGGACCTGTCAGATTTGTCTGGCTATAAATTCTTCACATGTAGAATCAAAATTTTGTCTTTTCAACAAAGATATCCTTTATTGTTACTCGAAAAGAGATGAACTTTGGCTTTTATTCACTCACATTAAGCATTTGGGAAAGTGTGTATTTGTTTCCTCTCCTTTTCTATTTGCTATGAGTAGCTTTATTCTTTGCAGATTTTAGGTGATGAGCAGATCAGAAAGTCAGATGGATATAACTGACATCAACACTCCAAAGCCAAAGAAGCAGCAGCGATGGACCCCTCTGGAGATCAGCCTCTCCGTCCTTGTCCTGCTCCTCGCCATCATAGCTGTGACCATGATAGCGCTTTATGCAACTTACGACGGTGAGTTCCTCTCAGACCCGAGCACTGATACATGCAGACAAGAATGAAACATTCATCTTTGACTCTCACCACCCACCTAACATATCTAAGGATGGTAATATCCAATGTGTGTTAATGATAGACACTTAGGGGCCAGGAGTGACAGCTTAGCAGCAAAAATCCTCACCTTGAACGCTCTAACGCTCTGGGATCCCACATGGGCGCCAGCTCTAATCACAGCAGCTCCACTTCCCATCCAGCTCCCTGCTTGTGGCCTGGGAAAGCAGTTGAGGGTGGGCCAATGCCTTGGGACCCTGCGCCCACGTGGGAGACCTGAAGGAAGTTCCTGGCTCCTGGCTTCGGATCGGCGCAGGACCGGCCGTTGCGGTCACATGGGGAGTGAATCAATGGATGGAAGATCTTCCTCTCTGTCTCTCCTCCTCTCTGTATATCTGACTGCATTGAAAATAAGTAAATCTTTAAAAAATGACAGATACTTAGCTATGATGTTATAAACTCATTAATAAATTGTAACATCAGTGTGTCAAAATAATTTACTTTAACAAGTCCATTGTCTTCTATATTTAAGCTGAGTCAGTAATATTTAGGTCAATCATGCTTACTTTATGAGGAGTCTAATATGGGTATGTTTATTAGATTAAACTAAACACAATTTTGTTAACCACTTTAGTAATAGTCATTAATCAACATTTGTTGTGTCATTGAAATGATAAAAGGCCTCATAGGAATTTAAGAGTCTAATTTGCATCTTGAAAGCTTTCCACAGTAAGAATTTAAAAAGATTGGTTCTGTGTAGTGGCGGGAAGAAAGTCCCAAATGAAAACTGATTATTTAAATAATCACTATGTGACTTGGTTGGTAGAATGATATCATAGCATATTTTTTCTGGATCATCAAAACTCTAAATTTAGAATTTGCCTACTATGATATGAAACACTCAATTTTAAGGAATTATTACTTCAAGGGAATTTACTTTTAAGTTCTAGCTGTAAGACATTGATTCTTTAATTGCTAGCTTTTGGAAGAACAAAAGTAAGAAAATGCTAAATATGTAATCTATTTATTCATACTCCTTTCTTTTTTTAGATGGTATTTGCAAGTCATCAGACTGCATAAAATCAGGTAAGAAATCATTTCCACACTTAATACTGTTGTAGTAAAGCTCCTGGCATTGGGCTTTGCCCTGTCTCAGCACTGCCTGGGGAGGGAATCAGCAGGCGGATCTGTCTCTCTCATCTCTCACTCTGTAACATCAACCCTTAAGTAAAAAGCTATATATTTTAAAAGAATTCAAAGGGTCCCAAGCTACTAGAAATGAATATCTCTGCATACCCTTTTTTTTAACTTTTATTCTTTAAAAATCACTTATCTATTATTAAGTGTCGTTAAACAGTAAATAAAAATAAAAATAAGCTATCCTTTAAAAATTCGGTTTTCAGCTTTGTAACACACGGCAAGGTAATAGAGAACATGTGTGGATGTGTGTTTATGTAGGGGATTTGAGGGGAGGAACTTGGCATGCAATAAAAAAATGAACATGCAGCAATATGCATCATATCATTATGTATTAAACTTCTTTTAAATTGTTTTATTTATTTTTATGTTTTGAAAGACAGGAAAAGCTTCCATTTGGTAGTTCACAACAGTCAGGGCAGGACCAGATTGATGTTGGAGCCAGTTACTCAACCGGGTCTCCCACGTGGATGGCAGGGACCCCTCAACCGGGTCTCCCACGTGGATGGCAGGGACCCCTCAACTGGGTCTCCCATGTGGATGGCAGGTATCCATGCACTTGAGCCATCCACTAATGCATCATATTGTGCTTTAGCAAGAGGCTGGACTTAGAAGTGGAGCCTGGACTTGAACTCAGGCACACTCATGTGAGATGCAGCTTTCCTAAGAGAAGTCTTAACCACCATGCCACAGGTTTTATCCAAGTATCAATGTCTTTTTGTGAATCACTAAAGGCCTGAGGACTTTCAAGGAAGTGATATGTAGTCATGCAAGGATGGGTGAAGAATTAAAGATTTGGGAAGGGCCTTGAAGCAAGGTTAAGAGTTGAAAGTAGAAATTGGAAACAGAGAATTCCAATCAAGGAGAAAAGAAAGAACAACACAGCAATAAGTCACGTTATTATTGAGAAGCAATAAAAATGTCGGCATGGAAGTTAGCATACATTATAGAGAATTTAAGAAAAGGCCATATATTGAGGGGGAAGCAAGCCTTTTCATGAGCAAAGGAATGATCTGGCAGAAGCTTAAAAAGGATGCTGGGAACGCTAAGCGTGCTAGCTGAATTGGGAAATAAAGCCTGAGAAGGCAAACCAGTAGGAACTGCTGCTATACTCCAGGGGTGGGCCAGCATCCATGGAAAAGCATAGGTGCCCTCCTGGAGACAGCAACAAGAGAGCATTGGATGTCTCAGGCAAACGGACTCCCTACAGGAACTAGATGCCATGTTTTAAAATCCAGGAATGGAGAAAGAATACTGGCAGCCCATTCAGAAAGTGATAAATGAGCGATTTGGATGGGTTTTGTCTGAATCAGGACTAACATCCAAGTGAAGATGGACAGTAAATAGAAATGGTACTGCTGGTACTGGAATTTGAATTTGAGATCTGTTGGTTCAGGGGTGATAGTGGGAGCCTTGGTGGTAGAAGCCTTAAAGAAAGGAAAGAGAAGGAAGGGCCTGGAGCGATAGCATAGTGGTTTAAGTCCTCACCTTTCTGTCCTTGTATATCTGCCTTTCCAATAAAAATAAATAAATCTTTTTTAAAAAGGTATGAAAGAGAAGAGATACAAGGGCTGAATTTAAGATGAAAAACATAATTTGAGTGCAAAGTAAAAATTAAAAAGAAAAAAAAGAGCAAGCAGAGAAACCATAAGAGTTGCACCAAGCAATGTGGTCCTTTCTCCAACGTGGAGAAAGACAATGACTGCATACAGCAACAACCTAGGATGGATACATTAGCTCCAGCCTTTAACAAGAGATCCTTTAAGAAAAAGTTTAAAACATTTAATTTATTTGAAAGGAAAAGTTATAGAGAGAAAGAAGGGAAAGAGGAAGCAAGGGAGAAATAAGGAGAGATCTTCCTTCTCCTGGTTCACTTCCCGAATATTTACAATGCCCAAGACAGGCCAGATCAAACTCAGGAGCCTGGAACTCATCCCGGTTTCCCGCAAGCCTGGCTGCTTTCCTAGGCACCACAGCAGGCAGGTGGATCGGAAGTAGAGCAGCCAGGACACCAACCTTGCTATCAGAAAACCAATCTGTCACTGCTGGTGCTAGCTAAGCATTCCCAATTCCTTTCTTTGCATACATTTTTCCAAGTAATTTTAATAATTTTCTGTGATTTTTTTTTTATTATTTCTGCTGATTTGCTTAACTTTGCAAAGTAATGTTGCACAAATTATGTTGGAATCCTGGATGATCTCAACTGCGAAGGCTGTATGTCAGGAGACATGTTGTAGAGTTGGAGGGAAACCTCATTGTTTCTCAGACATTAACTTCTTACCATGTGCTCACATTCCTATTCAACATAATCTTTTTGTAAGAAGATATTCTTTTAATGTATATCTGTGAAGCAGAGAGAGAGGATTCTTTGGACTTGTAGTTGGGATCTTGGGGGTCTTAAACACTAGACTAAATTTTCTTGCTCCCAAAGAAAGTTCTTTACTCCCAAGGTAAGTGGCTGCATACATACCTTGACTGGGAGATGTCTGGGTCAATATGTGGAAATGGCCACATGCCCAAGTTACCATTCACTTTCCCTCCTAATTTTTCCACTCCTCTCTTTCTCTACTTTATTACATGCCTCTGTCTGTCCTGTTTGGAGAAATTTCCATTACGTATTGAGCGCTAAGTGTTAATTTCTCCATTCATAATTCCTCTGACTTGTGTCTCTTTACCTATAGGCACTCTCTTCCCTTCTTCACTTTTTTCTCTCTTTTTTCCTCCTGCATTTTATTTTTGAAAAAACTGGATTCTTTAATTTGGTAGGTTTGTTCTACAAATTCCTGAAGGTGATTTTGGGGCAGAGATGTACTAAGCAAACACCGCAAGGAACAATGTGACATTCACAATCTGACATCTTGAGTGTGAATTAATGTTTGGGGATACAGATTTTAAATTGTGTTTGGCAGATCTCGATTCACTAACATATATTTAACATGTATTATTTAATGTGGCTTAGAAAGCATACCACATCTCTCAAAAAAGCATCTTTCAAAGCCGTATCTTGGTAGAGAAATGTGTTTGATGGAAATTGCTGTACAGCTGTGTGTTTGCCTTGAGCCTGCGCTGCTGGTTCACACTCTGTCAGAGTCGTTTCACTTTTGCGGCTAATGTTCTTGGTAAAAAAAGTGAAGACAATGCACGCTCTGCTAGATATGCCCCGCACGCCCTTACACACTCCCGGTCCCCTTTCTGCCAAAGAAAATAGTTGGTTTTTTGTTTGCTCGTTGTTTTGTTTTTTACAACAATGTTCAGAGGATATCTTGGACAGAAACAAATAAGAGGAGAGTGAGAAGATGAGTAGATAAAAAGAAGAAAAATGCAAACGGTAGTATTGGAGAAATTTTAAAATATTTTACCAATGATTCTATAGATGGCATTGAAAGACTCAAGTTTGAACTTAAGCACAACCATTCTTGAGATTAGACAAATGGGTGTTGATACACAAGGTGCTAACTTTAATGAAAGTTGATTCCAACTTGAGCTTTTTTCCCAGCAGAAAGGAATGTCATTGTAAGTATACCTCTCTCCTTGTTCCTTTGAAATCAAGCAATAAAAGTTCAGTCATCCCAAGGCAAAACATATTGCAGATGGACATGGATTATCTTGAAATCTGTTTTGGGTCACACATCTTAATTCTGAACATCCATGATTTAAATGTTAATATTATACACAAAATTATATTTGTACTACATTCTTTAAATTATTTGCCTGCATAGGAAAGGCATTAGTATGAAATATGATACCAGAAGCTAAAATCAGACAAATATAGCTTAGCAAATAAAAATTTATGTTAGGGTTAAGAATCCTATTAAACTCTATCATACATCACTTATTTGATACATAATATGGACAAAAACTTTGAATTTTAGAACTTGCATAGGATTTTATGTACTTACTGCCTTGATGTACATCTAAATTGAAGCCAGATCTCCCATCTGGTGGTTCACTTCCCATGTGCTCACAACAGCCAGGGTAGAAGTCAGGAACTTCTGACTCACTCCAGTCTTGCATGGGCGTGGCAGGAACCTGCTGTCTGATCCAGCAAGCTGATCAGAGTGGAGGAGCTGCAACTTGGAAACAGGCTCTCCCGATATGGGATGCTCCCGTGCCACGCTGTGTCTTGCCTGCTGAGCCATATGTTGGCCTCTGGCAGACTTTTAACCTGTAGAAATGTGAGATAAGAAAGTCACATTAGTTTGAGTCCCTCAACAATTACTTCAAGTCATTTGTAATAGCAGTTATAAGGAATTCTTGCACCCTTTCATCACCCCTTTAAGACTGTTGAAGTATATGTGAACTCATGCCTGTACAGGTAATTCCCATCTTGGCTGGCGTGTTACTAAATTGGGTCATGTAATAGACAGAGATAGGAAATGTCGACTAGGTTAATAGTAGTATGCTGTGACTTGAATGTGTCCGGTCTAAAATCTTATGGTTGCCAGAGTCCTAGTGTCAGGAGATGGGGCCTTGAGAAGGTGATTGGGTTTTAGGAATCCTTCCTCATGAACGGAATTAGCTGACCTTGAAAAGGGGACCGGATGGAGGAAGTTGATTCTCTTTTGCCCTTTCATCTTCTGCCACTTGAAGATGCAACAAGAAGGCCCTTACCAGAGGAATTCACACACTACGACTGTGAGGAAATTAGCTTCTATTTTGTTTTGGTGTAAATTGGCAAATCTCAGGTAAATATGTATAACAACACAAAATGACAAGAAATCGCTATAATAGTAAATTGCAGGAAGTTAGTGTTGGACTAACATAATACAATTAAAACAATACTAATTTATGCTTGGTGAGTATGTGTGTGTCTAGCATTAGTCTAAGTAGTTCTCATATGTTAACACATCTGATCCTTGTAATGACTTCATGGGGTCGTATCATCACAG